TATATCAGATATAAAGCACTGAAAGATGTTTAATTCATCAGCTCTATAATAGATATAAAGCACTGATGTTTAATTTATCAGTTGTATGTAATGTATAAAATTTGAGCAGGAAGCCTTTATGGGTTTTATTTAAAACTRTGAATTGAAAGTGAGTAGTTWTAAAGTTCTGATCAAATTCATTRATAATTGAGGTAAASACAATGGAAATTCATTGCCGTGACTGCATCTTTATATGAGCTAGAGATTCATCCTGATTTGCATAYGACTTCAACTTTGATTTTCTCTAACTGGCTCTAAAACTGCTCACTTGCAGCTTGCAATTTTACATGCCCAGAAAGGTCTCCCACCCTTATTTTATATATAGGTTGGACACAAATATTTTATATTTCTTATCAAATTCCAACATAGGATAAAGTATATTTTGCTAACAAATTTAAGACGAGGTATTATTTTTAAGAGAAAATCAAAGTTTAAAGTTCTATGCAAATCAGGACAAGCAATCATTTTCCATTGAGTTTACTTTATGAATTCTTAATGAATTTGATAAGTCAGATATAAAGTACTCTGATGTTTAATTCACCAGTTGCATATCAGATATAAAGTACTCTGATGTTTAATTCACCAGTTGCATATCAGATATAAAGCATATACATATCTGAGTTTAATTCATCAGTTGTATGTCAGATATTTTAGCACTGATGTTTAATTTATCAGTTCTATAATAGTTATAAAGTAATGCCAGGGTATCCCTGACAACCATAATTATAAATGTAGATCTCATAAAACTATTAGTGTGTACAATAATTCCTACTTTGCATAAATTTGTATTAATTATTTATGAATTGAGCAGCATTACAGTCTCCTTCACTGACCCAAGGACATCTTGAAAGGTAACCACGCCTTTGCAGAAATCTTCTGTAACACCTGCAGACAATTATTTACAAGTATCTATCATTGCACACTCAAAGGTTGTTTTCCATGTAAAAAGACAATGCTACCTTTCAAGATGGCACAGGTACATGTAACCAGGAAGCTGTAGGGGACTACTAAAAACCTCTTAGTTGATAACTAAATCTTATTGGTTCTAATTAGTAAAGAATTGTTTCACACTTATATGGCATGCACTCTACAGTTACATTAATTTTAATGTCAATTATTTCACTAATCCTTCAACAGGAAAACAAATCTGAATAACATGAAAACATGCCAGGTATTGTGGTCTTGATAATGAAACTAGACGCTCTTGGAGCGTGAAGTCGGACTAGCTATTTTTGAATGTATATCATGGCGTAGAATATTATATTATTTACTTCTAATACATAGTGAAAGCAAGAATGCGTGACAGTTTATTCACAGCCAATTCTTCGTTTTCATGTGACGTCATCGAAAAGCCAAAACCAGAAGTAAACATCTTATAATAATAATTTCAAAATATGTTTTAGAAACTATTGAGATGACTAACATGAAAAAGTTTGAAGTCATTTCGTTATTTTGTGCTCAAAGGGCCCAAAGTCTGTCACGCAAGACTGTTTCTTATTAGCGACGAACTCAAAACTAATTCACCTAAGATGGAAGATTTTACCTTAGGCATGTTCAGAGTATTTATTTTTAGTATATTTCAGTAAAAGATATTGAAATATGTCGAAAAATCCATCATAATTACTCGTGACCAGGGCCTTGGCCGGGTCACGAGTCATAAAAT